CCCTCAGGAATGAAGGTCTGGGTCACCCCACCAGGCAAAAAACCACAGCCAGCTGAGGTACTTGCTGAGGGCAAAGGTAATACAGAATGGGTAGTAGAAGAAGGTAGTTCTACCTATCAATTATGACCACGTGATCATTGGAAAAGCGAGGTTTGTAATTGTCAGTGTATTTTCTTTTTGTGTGCTTACTGCATATCTTCCATTTGTTCAGGTATGATATATCAGATACAATTGGACTCGGTGTGTTTTCATTTATATGTATGATAGATGATTGATGATAAGTATAAGTGTGATTTCATCAATGTCTGGAAATTATATTAAGTATATATGGGTAAAGAATTGTGTACAGGTGCCAGGATGGCAAGGGGTGGATTGAGATAGTTAGTTTACTGTGCCAGCCTAGCTGATAAACACAAGTGGGATTAATGAAGGGCGGAGAGATAAATGGCTTGGTGAGTCTCACCTTTCTTGTCGCTCATTCTTTGATCATCGGACCAGCGCTTGGCTGCCTTGCTTGTTCTGTGCCTCAATTTACAGGCTATACTACCTGTAGGACGCCTAGCCTGTGGACTGTGTTGCTGTAAGTTGAGGTCCCTTTAAGACCACACAATTGAAATTTACATCTCTGGAACTGAGGACTGACAGTTGGTGACCTGGCTGACAATTGGTGACCTCCTGGCTGTTTTGCTGCCTGTGCTGGGATAGCCTAGCTCTCTCTCTACAGAGGACGACCGGACGGCCCTCAAGACTTGAAGGACTGCTAGTGTCTCACAACTCTCTCACGGGAGTGAGTTGCACTGAGCCATTTATACTGCTTTATAATTTAACTGTTCATTTCTTGTATTATATATCTATCTGTTTATAATTTAACAGTTTATTCCTTGTGTTATATATATCTATCTTTATAAATATATATAAAATTAATCAGCAATCTGGTTTTAGCTCTCTAGAGAACCCTGTCTAACACACTGCTCTTTCAGCAAATAGTTTTACACAAATTTTACAAAACATGACATATTGGAAAAAATAAAATAAATCACACAACGCAGAATTTTCTTTCTTTTTAAAAGTATTGAATATGTACAAGGGGTACCAAAAAAAAAAAAAAAAACCCAGAAATTATTTTTTCAAAACTATGTATTGAAATTTTTTAACCTTATCACCTTCAAAGTACTCTCCATTATACTGAACACATCTGTCAAATCTGCAATTCCATTCTTGGAAATATTTTTCAAACTCATCCACGTGGATGGCTCGGGGCTCCTCCCTCAATTTTCTCTTCACCTTTCTATGTCATCAAATCGCTGTCCTTTCGTGTCCCTCTTCATTCTCGGGAACAAAAAGAAGTTGCAAGGTGCGAAGTCAGGTGAATAAGGTGTGTGGCACACGAAAGGCATGCTGTTGATTGCCAAAACCTGGCGCACTGAGATGGCTGAGGGAGCAGGTGCAGTCGTGGTGGCAAAACCAGTCCCCCACTGCCACAACTCTGGCCCATTTTGCCACGCACTGTGATGCAATTTTCTCAGAAGCGCTAACTAAACCTTGATTGCCAGTCTGACTTGGTGGAACAAACTCCAAATGCACTAAGAGTTGACATTTTCGTCCCTTTGGGAAGTTGATGGATGTCCAGATGACGTTTGTCATCAAGCAACATTTCACCTTT